TAATTATAATAATAATATAATAATATATAATATCAATTACAAGAATATAAATTATAAATTGTGTTATGCTATTTATATCCTTATATTTATATTAATTTTAAATATTTATATTTATAAATAATTTTATAGATTTAAAATATTTTAATATATCTAATATATATTTAAAATAATTGTATTTTAAAATTTCATATTTCATACATTATAAATATGTATACATTTACATTTATTATATATATTATATTTATTTCATGTATTTCCATTTATATTTATTGTAAATTATATTATAATAATAAAATTTCTATTATAAATAATAGAAATGATAGAATATAAATTATAGAAATAATCCCTATATCTCTGTGTCATTAAACAGCCCCCTGAGGTTGTCAAATTCCCGGTTTTGAAAGTCCAAAATTCCCATTTTTGAAACTCCAAAATCCCATTCTTGACAGTCCAAAAATTCCCTTTTTTAAAGTCCAAAATTCCCATTTTTAAGGCCGAAAATTCCCATTTTTTAAAGCCCAAAATTCCCATTTTTTGAGGTTCAAAATTCCCGTTTTTAAAGCCCCAAATTCCCGTTTTTAAGGCCCCAAATTCCCGTTTTTAAGGCCCCAAATTTAAGGCCGAAAATTCCCATTTTTAAAGCCCCAAATTCCCGTTTTTTAAAGCCCTGAATTCCCGTTTTTAAGGCCCCAAATTCCCCTTTTTCAAGCCCCAAATTCCCGTTTTTAAGGCCCCAAATTCCCGTTTTTCAAGCCCCAAATTCCCGTTTTTAAGGCCCCAAATTCCCGTTTTTAAGGCCCCAAATTCCCGTTTTTCAAGCCCCAAATTCCCGTTTTTAAGGCCCAAAATCCCATTTTTGGGTGTTTTCCCTCTCCCCCCATCTCGCCCCCACTTTCAGGACTCCAATTTCTCCTTTTCCTTCCCGTTTCCATCGCGCTCATGAATAATGCAGTAGCTGCGGCATGAATATGCAAATGAGCCTGCTGGTAGGGGATGTGCTCATGAATAATTCATGAGGGGAAATGTTCCTCACCTCCGAACCGCCAGAAATGGGAAAAAAACCCGGATTTACCTTCCCGGGGAGCCGGGCGGGCCGGGAGCGCGGAGCTGCCTTAGACCCGGCCTAGGGACCCAGACCCGGCCTAGGGACCCAGACCCGGCCCAGGGACCCCAGACCCGGCCTAAGGACCCAGACCCGGCCGAGGGACCCAGACCCGGCCTAGGAACCCCTTAGACCTGGCCTAGGGACCCAGACCTGGCCTAGGGACCCAGACCCGGCCTAGGGACCCAGACCCGGCCTAGGGACCCAGACCCGGCCCAGGGACCCCAGACCCGGCCTAAGGACCCAGACCCGGCCGAGGGCCCCAGACCCGGCCTAGGGACCCAGACCCGGCCCAGGGACCCAGACCCGGCCTAGGGACCCAGACCCGGCCGAGGGACCCAGACCCGGCCTAGGAACCCCTCAGACCTGGCCTAACCCNNTAATTATAATAATAATATAATAATATATAATATCAATTACAAGAATATAAATTATAAATTGTGTTATGCTATTTATATCCTTATATTTATATTAATTTTAAATATTTATATTTATAAATAATTTTATAGATTTAAAATATTTTAATATATCTAATATATATTTAAAATAATTGTATTTTAAAATTTCATATTTCATACATTATAAATATGTATACATTTACATTTATTATATATATTATATTTATTTCATGTATTTCCATTTATATTTATTGTAAATTATATTATAATAATAAAATTTCTATTATAAATAATAGAAATGATAGAATATAAATTATAGAAATAATCCCTATATCTCTGTGTCATTAAAGAGCCCCCTGAGGTTGTCAAATTCCCGTTTTTAAAGTCCAAAATTCCCATTTTTGAAACTCCAAAATCCCATTCTTGACAGTCCAAAAATTCCCTTTTTTAAAGTCCAAAATTCCCATTTTTTAAGGCCGAAAATTCCCATTTTTAAAGCCCCAAATTCCCGTTTTTTAAAGCCCTGAATTCCCGTTTTTAAGGCCCCAAATTCCCCTTTTTCAAGCCCCACATTCCCGTTTTTAAGGCCCCAAATTCCCGTTTTTCAAGCCCCAAATTCCCGTTTTTAAAGCCCCAAATTCCCGTTTTTAAGGCCCCAAATTCCCGTTTTTCAAGCCCCAAATTCCCGTTTTTAAGGCCCCAAATTCCCGTTTTTAAAGCCCCAAATTCCCGTTTTTGGAGGCCCAAATTCCCGTTTTTGGAGGCCCAAATTCCCGTTTTTAAGGCCCCAAATTCCCGTTTTTCAAGCCCCAAATTCCCGTTTTTAAGGCCCCAAATTCCCGTTTTTAAAGCCCCAAATTCCCGTTTTTAAGGCCCAAATTCCCGTTTTCAAAGCCCCAAATTCCCATTTTTAAAGCCCCAAATTCCCGTTTTTCAAGCCCCAAATTCCCGTTTTTAAGGCCCAAAATCCCATTTTTGGGTGTTTTCCCTCTCCCCCCATCTCGCCCCCACTTTCAGGACTCCAATTTCTCCTTTTCCTTCCCGTTTCCATCGCGCTCATGAATAATGCAGTAGCTGCGGCATGAATATGCAAATGAGCCGGCTGGCAGTGGGGTGTGCTCATGAATAATTCATGAGGGGAAATGTTCCTCACCTCCGAACCGCCAGAAATGGGAAAAAAACCCGGATTTACCTTCCCGGGGAGCCGGGCGGGCCGGGAGCGCGGAGCTGCCTTAGACCCGGCCTAGGGACCCAGACCCGGCCTAGGGACCCCAGACCCGGCCTAGGGACCCAGACCCGGCCTAGGGACCCCAGACCCGGCCCAGGGACCCCAGACCCGGCCGAGGGACCCAGACCCGGCCTAGGGACCCCAGACCCGGCCTAGGGACCCAGACCCGGCCTAGGGACCCAGACCTGGCCTAGGGACCCAGACCCCTTCCCGGGGAGCCGGGCGGGCCGGGAGCGCGGAGCTGCCTTAGACCCGGCCTAGGGACCCAGACCCGGCCTAGGGACCCCAGACCCGGCCGAGGGACCTAGACCCGGCCTAGGAACCCCTTAGACCTGGCCTAGGAACCCCTTAGACCTGGCCCAGGGACCCCAGACCCGGCCCAGGGACCCCAGACCTGGCCGAGGGACCCCAGACCCGGCCCAGGGACCCCAGACCCGGCCGAGGGACCCAGACCCGGCCTAGGAACCCCTTAGACCTGGCCTAGGGACCCAGACCTGGCCTAGGGACCCAGACCCGGCTGAGGGACCCCAGACCTGGCCTAGGGACCCAGACCCCGCCTAGGGAACTCCTTAGAACCGGCCTAGGGACCGCTTAGACCCGGCCTAGGGACCCAGACCCGGCCTAGGGACCCAGACCCAGCCTAGGGACCGCTTAGACTCGGCCTAGGGACCCCAGACCCAGCCTAGGGACCCAGACCCGGCCTAGGGACCCATACCCGGCCCAGGGACTGCTTAGACCCGGCCTAGGGACCGCTTAGACCCAGTCTAGGGACCCAGACCCGGCCTAGGGACCACTTAGACCCAGCTGAGGGACCCCAGACTCGGCCCAGGGACCCCAGACCCAGCTGAGGGACCCCTTAGACCCAGCCTAGGGACCGCTTAGACCCGGCCTAGGGACCCCAGACCTGGCTTAAGGACCCCAGACCCAGTGATGGACCCCCAGATCCAGTTAGGGATCCCCGATCCCCAGACCTCGCTTAGGGACCCCCCTCACCTCTCCAGACCCCCCTGGGACCCTCAAACCCTCTTTAGGGACCCTCTCTAACCCCACACCACACTCAGTGACCCCCAGACCCATTTAGGGACCCCA